ATTACTACTACTACTACTACTACTACTACTACTACTACTATTACTACTACTACTACTACTACTGCTACTACTACTACAGGTTTGATTCTTTATGCGTTAAACGGACGCTCGGATGATTCGCGAGCCAGCGTCTATTCTGTTTTGTTTCGTTTGTTTATTTGTTTCTTGTTTGTTACGAGATTTTACTCTGGCAAGTGGCAAGGCGTGTGCACACCGCGTGTCTGCGAATCTGCAGCGAATGTGCCCCGTGAAATCGATTGGAGCCGTTCCATTCGCGAAAAAGAAAGGCCGTAAACGAACTATATTATACACTATATATATTATACATTACATTATATTGTATCCGACTTGATGCATCTTCATACAAATTATTTCGTTATCGCGACGAATCGCACGGCTCGAATTTGTTTCGCGAGCCACGTACGTGATTATGCGATTATTAGGCAGGCAAAGGGATATTAAAAAGAAAAAAGAAAAAAAAAAAAAGAAGTAAGGGAAAAAAGAAACGATTGTGAAAAATCACCACAGCTACCTCCATAATTAATTAAATATCAGTCTTCTTCTCGCGCTATATTCACGCTCACGATTACCTAAAGCATATAGTAACGTTACTTTTTACGATGACGATTTCGGGGGGCGAGTAATTCGTCATCTCGACGAAACCATTGCATCTCCGCATAGCGAGTATATTATTATAATATAATAATTATGTATACACAACGTTTATATACACATAGTCAGAAGCGCGGGATAATATAGCCTCCATGGATTATATAGGTTTAAGGATTTGCCTCCTTCCGCGGAACAGTCGAGCCGGCAATGGAACAATAATACAATAATAAAGAAAGAAGAAAAAAGAAAAAAAAAAAAAAAAGGTGTAGAGAATTTCGTCGAACGTCGGTCGCGTTTCGATGTGGAAATTATATTTTAGACAGACTGCTCAAAATAATTCGAAGATTTACGTTTCTAAGTGATAACGAGACAGAGGATGAATCGCCGGTCGCGAAATTTCAATGCGAACACTGCTCAAACTATTTCGTTTCGTGGTACGAATACACACATACAGACTTAGGTAAATCGAATGTAATAGCCATAGTAGATTATTATTGTTATTATTATTATTTTTTATTAAATTTCTTCTGTCCAGAGATCGCGATATATTCGAAACATCTTCGAAATTGTGGCGATAATAGAAAGTCTTGAGAGTCAAGATAGACCAAAGTGTTATACATCGTTGCTTTTCCCCGTTGCAAGTC